GACTGAGAATACGGGGCCAAATAATCTCCATTGAAATGAAATGCAATAATACAAATACAACTGCATATCAAGCACCATTTACCTTCCACTAGCAGTTCAACATAAACTTACCTAATCACAAACTAATACATATTTCAAACTTTGAAAAGCACTCAAAATCTAAAAAATATGACTGATGGCTAAATAAACTCCATGCGCCGATACTCATACAACTGCATACCAAATATCATACCTACTACTAATCACAAACTAATACATGTAAACTAGCCAAAAGCTTTAAAGTCAATAGACCATGACTGAGGAGGCGGGGTCAAATAATCTGAAAAGAAATGAAATATGCCAATACTAATACATCTGCATATCAAATATCATTGATCTACCTCTAGGGACTCCCCTTAAACTGACCTAATCACAAACTAATACATTGTTGACGCAACCGCCTCCACCACTGCAAACAGCACGCCTATGTTTCACTTTTTCGACTTCGTTGAGGCGAAACAAACAACCTTAACATGTGGGCTAACAAACGGTATGAAAATGAAGTGACTCTTATTCTATTAGTTTTCTGTAAGGTAGTTTTTTCCAAGCTTATGTTGCATGCATTTATTATAGTATTGTGATAACCACAATTTCGCAATACAAATTATGTTAAGTGCTGCCCCTACATGACAGGAACCATATATTGAACAAAAAATGCTGACCCTTCTGGAGCATCTGGTCTCACTATTTGTTTTATATGGGAGTTCATGTTGTTATAGGTTTGTTTTTAAATAATTTGCATATAATTTTTTTTTGTCTTGTGTACAGCTGTTGAATACTGCTTCTCATATGGGTTCTCTATGTTTGTCTTGTACCAAATTACGCATCGTTTGGGAGGAGGTGTTTTTTTTTAAGTTTTAGCAAAAATTATTTCAAGATATATATGCATGTTCCTTTTTGTATGTTACACATCTGATAATAGTAATTTTTATGAATATGAAGTTGTCTGGATAAGTTATATAGTTCTTAAATGATTACATTAACAAACTTAACTTATCAAAGGTAGATGAATTTTTTCTTCTCGTGCGAAGTTTATTGTTAAAATGCCCATCTTCATCATATGTTGCAACCATCAATTTTGACTACAATATAACAAAAGCAAGCTTTATTGACATAAGTTTGATTATTGTAACGACACTATATTTTTCTTATACAAATCTACTCCTCATAACAAGAGTGCACATACTAATATGTCTCACCTGTTTAATTTCTTCCATATACCAATTACAAATAACCTATTTCTTATAGTATCTGAGAAACAGACAAAACACTAAAATTTAACATTGACCACTGAACCATGAAAATGAGGTCACGATCAGATAAACTTATCAGACTGATATGCACACCTTAAAATAATCCATATACTAAATGAAGTAGACCTAGTGCTTGCAGTATGTGGGATACCGACTTGACTACTAAAACTTTATTTTGTTCACAGCTCTATGAGATGAGGGTTAAGTCAGATGATACCTGTCTGATAGAAATATATACCTTGCAAGAATGATGTATACCAAATAAATTTTTATTAGTGGTAATCACTGATAAATTATAATCTAAAAATCAATATCTATGCCGACCACAGCATTATACGACCTAAAAATGTCCACATATGATTTTGCTCCGGATCAGAATTGATAGACAAGTTCCCCCTTTTATAGACCTCTATTTCAGTAACTGTTGAGACTAGAATATCCAAGATACAAAACCCTGCTTATCCTTACGGAGCACATGAGATTACCCCTGGTTTTTTGTTTGGTTCCTGTTGCTCAGTCTTTTTCTATGATTCCTATGTTGTGTTTTCTGTACTGTTGTTTGTCTTTTCTTCGTATTTCGTTTCTTTCCATTGTATTGTCAGTTTGTTTTCGACGCATGAGTTTGAATATCCCTTTGGTATCGTTCGCCTTTTTATTTTACAACTGTATACAGGTGTAGCATCATTTGGCTATGATATAATATTATTGTAGATATCATCTACCCTGTTTTCCCCATCCACCTTCTTACTTCTTCACCATACTGAGCATTTACATACACATGTGCAACCCGAAAAAAATAATTACAAAATTATAAACATTAGGTTTGTCTACATTTGGCTTATCATTCTCTTTATTCATGTCATTTCCATCGATATCTTACATTTAAAAAAAATACAATGCTCATCATTTATGGTTTTTTTTTCTGATGGATACAAAGTGAAGACAATAAATCATATGAAAAATGTTTACATTATTATAAAATTACAAATGTAAATAAAGTTTTATACCAGTTTGTGAATGACTAAAATCGGCGCTTCATACAAAATTTGCTTCAGCCCAAGATTTACAAGCAAAAAAGCAATCAATTCTTAATGGCATAATTATCATATTTTGAACTTAATTTTAATGAACATAAACTATGTTATAAACAATACGTCGGCATACAACTGGCATGATTGGGTCTTTATTTTGTATTGCATATACATATAACAAAAATAAAGAGATATGGTATACTTGCCATTGAGATAACTATCCACCAAAATTCAAATAAAGTGGATAAAAACAATTATAGGCCACTGTACGGCCTTCAACAAAGAGAAAAACCCATACCATATAGTCGGCTATAAAAGGCCCTGGCATATAAAATATGAAACAATTCAATTGAGGAAACTAACCGCCTAACTTATAACAAAACACTTCATGAAAAATGAACCATGAACCAACAACAAGCACTCAACTACAGGATCCTGACTAGGGACAGGCACACAAAGAATGTGGCGCAGTTATACATATTACATGTCAATTTCATTGTTTGGTAATCCCTTGTAGACAGGTGCGTATAATTCTTACCTATAGAAATCTGCAATTTACGGTAGAAATTTTGTTCTCATAAGACACTAGACATATACCAATTCATGGTTTCACAAATGTTTGGTGCTTATGTAATAAACTGTCATAACAATACACAAACAGTGCTATTTCTGTTCGTCTTTTTGCAGTTCTGCATTTTGACATTTACGAACTGCATTTTGACATTTACGAACGAAATTTATACGATATATTTGGTTTACAGTTTGATTCAGAAGAAACACCGACATAGCTAGATAATACAATTATTTATCTAATTACTACCATTTGATATTAATAAGTATTGTAATTTTCATTGTTATTAATGTAATGTCAGTATTACAAATCTAATCTTTAATCAATCATAATCCTATCTTATTTTTGGGAAATATTTTACATATTCAAATGTGACGTCACTTTGTGTGTTTTTTTAGAATTTCAAATGTGACGTCACTTTGTGCGTTGAGGCTTTGGCTAACTCGGCTGTGTATTTTTTATGTGTTGGATTAAGTTGTTTTATGTAATGTATCCGTTTTTATTCTGTAGTTAGTCCCCACTTTGGTTTTATCATGTATATCTATTATATAGTCATTTTATAGAATTTACTGTTTGCAAAATTATACATAATTCTAAATAATAAGGATGTTCTTGTCCCAGGCAGAAAACCCTGGCCGTGTTATGCACAACTTTTTGGAAGTTTTGGTCCTCGGTGCTCTCCAGCTTTGTACTTGTTTTGGCTTTCAAACTTTTTTCATCTGAGCGTCACTGGTTGGTCTTGTGTGGACGAGGCGCACGTCTGGCGTATTGAATTTTAAGCCTAGTACCTTTTGTTAGCTATTATTCGTGTGTTTCTTTGTCCTATATGTTCTCCCATTTATTTGTATTGTGGTCCTGTTATGTGATGTTGTCGTTTTGGAATTGTGTTTGACGTTGTCATAAAAGCGGGAGGTTTGGCATGCCACAAAACCAGGTTCAACCCACCATTTTTTTCTTAAAATGTCCTGTACCAAGTCAGGAAAATGGCCATTGTTATATTATAGTTCGTTTCTGTGTGTGTTACATTTTAATGTTGTGTTTTTGTTGTGTCGTTGTTCTTCTCTTATATTTGATGCATTTCCCTCAGTTTTAGTTTGTAACCCGGATTTGTTTTTATCTCTATCGATTTATGAGTTTTCGAACAGCGGTATACTACTGTTGCCTTTATTTGGCAAGTGAACTAATTAAGCAAACAACACATGTCAAAGAAAGTGAAGAAAACTCATAAATATTAAAAGAAAGAAGTAAAAAAAAAAAATTCACGACAGAAACACTCGATGAGATACTTGGAAGCCTGGATCGTATAAAGATAGTAATTCTTCTTTGAACTGAACAAACATTGTCTTTACACCAAGTTATACAATACCGCATAAACCAACCATAAGAATGAGACGATTTTTGATATCATATGATAGTCACAAGGACTGTGTTGGCGTTATCTGTGTGACTTCTAGTGTTATAAAGTGGCTGTTGTAGGTTGCTGTCTGTCATATTTGTTTTGTCTTTTATGTTTCTTGCAGTAGTATTATAATTCAGGACGTTGGCTTTTACAGTTGAGTCGTTTGTCACGCCGAGGGCTTCCCATACGGGATGTGTTTTTTCTCATTGTTGAATGCCGTACAGTAAATTAAATCTACGTCTGGTTTATAGTTTTCTAATTGACAATTATACTACATCTCCTTGTTATTATATGTACTCATTGTTGAATACTGCACGTGACCTGTAATTTTGCACATCTTTGTTATGTGATCTAGAGAGTGATGACACATTTACCTAGCAATCAATGATGATACATAATACTGATTTCAGAGGATATGGGATGGGGTCACAATTTCTCATGTTTACTGCATCTTTTTAATTGTTGGGCCATTTTCTTTATTTTTTTTATTTTTTCTTTTATTTCTCTATCAATTATGTTAACCCATTCCATCCATTCTTTATCTTCTACCCTTTATTTCGATAGAGCAAAAACCGCAAAGGCTCTCATTTGAATAGTAGTGAAAAATGATTGACGAACAATCAATGCTTTATAATTATATAATGCATTTGTTTCAATCACAACAAAATACAAAATTTGGTATTCTTTATTGATAACTGTGCTACATTGTTATCTTGTTATATTGCTACAACTTATAGTAGTTCAAAGATCATAAAAACCTATTCCGGAATTGAAAATAGACATTTATCGGTTCCAGATGAATGATGAGAATACGTCTGATGGCTTTTTATGTCTCCGTATCCATGGGTAATGCAACCGTATTCCTTAGTTTGTCGACGATTTTGTCCACGAGAGTTCTTTCTATTGCACGGACAGCTTAGTGAAACCTTGCGTTGTAACAATGGCTGTACAGGTCTAAATGTATCCACTATATTATTGTCACCTTCTGTAAATATTTCGTGTTCTCCCATCAATTTCCTGAATTCCTTTAACTATAATATTCAAATAAGCGTATAAATGTTATCGGCATTTTTCCGTTCAATTCATATTTTTATTGGCTATCAAAGTGTTTTTGACTTGTTGCATTTTGTTTCAAATTTACTAATTTTATTGTGTTTTGTTTGAAATTTGCTTGTTTTTTTTTGTTTTTTTTTCGTCTTGATTTCGTAAGATTTTTGTCAGATTAATGTTTAGTTTTAAACTTAATCTTACAACATACTGTATTCTAACTAATTTTCGCGAGCGATTTATTTTCTCGTCTTTCGCGAGTGCTAAAAAAATCGTCGCGAATATATAACACTAGGGTCTTCTCTCATATAATTACATCAAGGAAATGAGTAAACCGCGAAAAAAATCGCCGCGAAGTCGGCTGAAAATTGCTAAACGCGAAATAAAGTATCTGCGAAAATAAGTTGGTTTATTAGTAGTATTCATCAACAATCTCACTAATGAATAAAAGTTGAAGTTGGTATGTGATAAAGAGATCGTAACATAACGAAACAAATAACTAAAGTTCCTTATATCTACATTTTTGTACTTTTTTTCAGAAAAAAATGTTAACGTACCCATTTAATCTCTACTATATTCTAATATTCTATAGATTTTTTAGTTTTCAATTATTCAAACGCATTAATAGTTAGACGATTGATAAAACGATCACATTTGTTTTTTTTTATCGATTTATAATTACCTGGTATTCTGACATAGAAATGCTCATTTCAAACACAGTCCATATAACAGTCTCTGTACACGGTGGTGTGGTTAAACTCCCACAATATCGGTACCAACAGCGGGTAGTTTTTGGGAACAGATCAATGATTGGAAAGTTGTCCAGGATTTCCTTATCACCTATAAAAAAAGTTAAGATATCGACAGGAGCATTTTAAGAATGAATATGTTGGCCTAGTTAGAACTGAAAGATATTCTTGGCCAATTTAGGAAGAAAATGAACATTTTGCCCCAAATAATGCAAACAGTAAATATCATAAATATAATTTTGTTTTTTTAGTGAAAACAAATTTCCGCTAAAAAAAAGTATAAATTAGCCAAACATGCAAAAGGTGCAAATGAATATTCCGTCAGAAAAAAACCTCCTGTTCCACTTTTGTAATGTAAAGTGGTCGTCCATCAAACAAAAATTGATTTCGAGCTTGCCATGTTTTTTGGACTTTGCAACTATTTAAATAAAATTAGGAATGAAAATGGGGAATATGTCAAAGGGACAACAACCCGACCAAAGAGCAGACAACATCTGACGGCCACCAATGGGTCTTCAATGCAGCGAGAAAGTCCCGCACCCGGAGGTAAAATAGTGTGCTACTTCAGTGAAGATGGACGTCACACTAAACTCCAAAACATATAAATTAACTAAAATTAAAAAAAACATACAAGACTAACAAAGGCCAGAGGCTCCTGACTTGGGACAGGCGCAAAAATGCGGCGGGGTTAAACATGTTTTGTGAGATCTCAACCCTCCCCTTATATCTCTAGTCAATTTAGAAAAAAGAAACACATAGCAATACCCACAGTAAAACTCAGTTTAAAAGAAGTCCGAGTCCGATGTCAGAATAGGTAACAAAAAGAAACTAAGCAAAATTAGAATGTTACATAAATGAACAAAGGACTACTAGCAGTTACTGACATGCCAGCTCCAAACCTCAATTAAACTGATTGACAGATTATGTCTTCATCATATGAAAATCAAGTACAATCCCTCCCGTTAGGGCTTTAATATCATACGTACTTTTTCGATTTATTCATATCCATGTCTAGGTAAATTTAAAAATCATTTGGCCACTAATCTTCTTTTTATCGTTTACATGGTTTTGAATATCATCTTAGTATCTTATCCTTTTCCTTTTTTTACAACACATGTGGTATTATAATAGGGTAAACGATCAGTAAGTGTCCATTCATTATAATCTTTGGCTCGGTTTACAGTTTATAATTAAAGTATATACCGTTTACTTACCATTATGTTTTACGTCTTTGAGCTTAGAAACTATATGTTCATAATTTGGATTGTAACTTCCAGCCTGTAATGCCAACAATTGTTCGTTACATTCATGTTTATTACTCATAAACATATATTCTTAAGAAGAATAAAGTGTTGCTTTTTTATATTTGAAATGATATTAATACTTTATGTGTCTTCCGTCTGTTTGAAGTCAATTCCGTACTGTTCCGTAACTTTTAGACACTCTTTACAATGTTGATGTGTACAGGTATATAACACCTACTGGACAGTCTAAACATAGACTGAACAGTTCTAAATTTACTGCAAGAACAATTTATGAACAGTACTGAATTTACCGCCGTGGTTAAGTATGAAAATTAAATGAAAGACCGAAACTAACTTAGTAATTTAATGTTCAGTCATTTAAGACTGTTTGATATCAAAATAACCGTTGTTTCAGATCAAAACTGGTTTACTTGTGATAATGTTTTAGTAAGTGCATATCAGGAAATAGTTACAATTTCATATTTTGCCAATATCCAAAATAATTATCTTTTTATGAACATAAACTGCTTTTATTTTTGTGAAAAAAATGATAGTTAAATTGAATAGATCTTACATAAATCATTACTCCAATCACTGCTGCGAAGTTTTTTGGTTCATCTTTTGTTGGAATAAACACAAAATGAGCCTAGAATAAAATAAATAGATGCAGTTATAATTTACTAGTAACTGAATTCACAGGCTTTCCTATTACATGACAACTTAAACTGAATCACTTGAAATCAAAATATAAGTACTATTCGAATTTTAAATCTATATATAGATTTGTAACAGGTAACTGTATTAATTTAGCAGGGAGATGTGATTTTTTGTTCCGTGTCAAAGGCATCACTGTGACTTTTCGGGAACAGTTATACTTTAGTTCCTTATAGCTTTAGGTTACTGTCAAGTTTAGTATTTTTGTTATACTTTTTTATGTCAAGAACCAAAACACCTTTTCCTTTGAATTAATAAGGAAAGTACATATACAATGTATGTTGCTTACTTCTTTTTTGGATAGTTTAGATTTAGTATTGATTTTCAGAACTCCTGTTTATTGAAAACATATTAGCAATATGAATACAAATAGCATGAATTTTTCAATTCTTTTTTCAATCGTTGTAATAGATAGTATTACATACATTTCTATGTTGTGTCGTAGTTCTCCTCTTATATTTAATGTGTTTGACTCAGTTTAAGTTTGTAACCCGGATTTTTTTTTCTCAATCGATTTATGAATTTCGAACAGCGGTATACTACTGTTGCCTTTATTTACCACAAAAAGCAGACGGTATCTAAAGAACAATCAAAACTTATGAGATGAAGAGAAAAACAAAAACAACGGAAAGACGAACAAATAACAAATACTACACTAAAAAATAAAAATTGAGCAACACGAATCCCACTTAAACCGGGGTGAAGTCAGCTGTTTCGGAAAGTTCAGAAGTTCCTGCTCCACATGTGTCAATGAAAATTGACTTAAATTACCGAAACTTTGGACATTGTGTTTAAATTCTTCGTGAGGAAATAATTTAAAACAAGGTAAGTACAAAACTTGGCGAGTTTGCTTGAACCCCATCTACGATTTTGGAAACAAATATTTCTTCTGTCAGATCACAATAATAGATAATTGAAAGACTATTGATTTCATGGTCCGTGTCTATTTACGTTCATTCGTTTTTCATTTTGAAATATTAAAAAACAAAAAACAAAAAACGAGAGTGTTTTCATTTTTCGTTTTTGACTTCTCAAAAACCAAAACGAAAAACAAAAGTGTTTTCATTTTTCGTTTTTGATTTCTCTAAAACCAAAACGGAAAACGAAAGTGTTTTCATTTTTTGTTTTTGATTTCTCTAAAACCAAAATGAAAATCAAAAGTGTTTCCGTTTTTCGTTTTTGATTTCACTAAACAAGAATTTTGTATTTAATTTTAATCATTTCTCGTTTTATAATGTACAATGTTTTCCTTTCTTGTTTCACAGTCATTGATAGTAAATTATGCCAATGTTAACATTCCGGTGTTCTTTCAACATAATGTAGACAAAATAGACCGCCTGACTTATGAATTCAACTACGGTGATAAATGAATCAAAGCCTTTCAAATTACCTTGTTTATATCTTCAATAAAAAATAAATTATTATATTTAAATATTAAACGAAACATAAATTTAAATTGTACAATATAATATTATATAAAGATGGTACAAATAAATAGATTGATTACAACATCACATTAACAAGGGAGGTTATAATTTTTAAAACTTATAAGAAAACTACCTCGGTCGTTAAAGTATGCATGCACAGTCACTGTGGTTATCAAATCTTTAATCGAAGATAATGTCGACGGATGCAAAAGACTTTATCAATCTGAACAATAAGGGTGCGTGATCTTTACTTTTAAATTTAGAAAGGTTGATCACAGATGATTAGAATTCATGACCAAGGTCCATTATACGAACATTCAGGACGATAATGTGTTTTGCTTGATCAATTGATTGAAAAACAAATTTCCGCAATTTCACAATTCAAACCGGGATTAGCATTCAATCATTTTGCCATTCGGAGCCTACTCGGTATTAGTTTTGCTTATTTTTGAAAGCTATATGGTGACCTTAACTAGAGCCTGGGTGTGGATGGGGGTTTACGGAATAGAGAATAGTGGGCAAAAAATATAAATAATAGAGACAATGGACCAAGAAATAAAAAAAAATAGAATAATGAGGTGTTAAAATATAAAGAGAATAGAATAATTGGCAAAAAGTATAAAGAAATAAACATGATAAAGTATAGAGAAAAAGGGCCTGAAACACTGATTAAAGAATAGAGAAAAATGGAATAGAATATCAAAGAATACAGAAATGAAGAAATACGCATCCAGACCATCATACTAGTTGCCTAAACCAACGTTATTTTGTCTCCGGTAGATTGTTATTGGTTTTCATACGTTTTCTTTTTATTTCTATGCCTATCAATTAAGACATGAGCTTTCATAATTTGCCAGCTTATTACATTATAAAAAAAGACTAAGCCGAACATCACTCTGGATTTTTTCTCAAGTAGACCTCAGCTACCCACCCTACCACACCATTACCGAAAAGTTAATAAAAAAAATCTACGGCAATACTTTTGTCCGCACTAGGTGCAAAGGGAAGCTGAGGTCTTCTGGAGAAAAAATCCAGGGTGTAGGATAAAGCAAAACATTTTAATCCACATAGTCAAGTGTGTGGCTGTTGTTTTTTCGGAGTATGAATGGTTCTTTTCCTCGTTGAAGACCCTCCAGATACTTTCAAGATGAAGAACAGGAATAAAAGCTCTGTTCATTGATAATTTGTATTTTTTCTATGTATTGTGTGCGATTTTGTCCCATGCACATCTTTTATTTTCTATTTTAGGGCCTAAACACGGCTCAATGCAAGTTTAGCCCTTCAATATTAAAGGTCATATGTTACATTATTGTTTCGAATAAGAGTGAATTTGGTACCTATTAAAACGTTTAAACCCGCTGCATTTGTTTGCACCTGTTCTAAGTCAGGAACCTGATGTTCAGTAGTTGCCGTTTGTTGATGTGGTTCATAAGTGTTCTCGTTTCTTGTTTATTATATAGATTATACCGTTGCATAGTTTTCCCGTTTGAATGGTTTTGCACTGGTCATTTTGGGGCCCTTTGTTGCTTGCTGTTCGGTGTAAGCCAAGGCTCCGTGTTGAAGATCGTACTTTGACCTATAATGGTTTTTCTTTTACAAATTGTGACTTGGATGGAGAAATGTCTCATTGGCACTCATACCACATCTTCTTATATCTATATATGGTCTTTTTAAGCGAATTGGGAGATTGGGAATTCTAGCTTAATCTCACCCATGTCAGCTTTTTATTTGTATTTACAGAAAAGAAAGCTAGTTTTGTATTCTTTAATATAATGTAACAGTTTAATTTTCAATGAAAAAAGGACAGTTTTTTCTATGTCCGGTAGCATCGTATCATATCTGGACATCGGCTGTTGTCTGCTCTTTGGTCGGGTTGTTGTCTCTTTGACATATTCCCAATTTCCATTGTCAATACTTTTATCGGTAGGCATGTAAAATTGCCAAACCATACACGACCGTTCATTAGTCATCGTAGATCTATTCCAATTCTTAATAAGTCTACACAAAGCAGAAAAGGAACTTTTACAACAAGGAATATTACACAACTGAAGCCGTAATCATAAAGATCGATTGACTGATTGGTGTTCCTTTAACGTGGCGCAGAATATAAAAATATTACCTGATCTTCATTCTCAACATCTTCAATCTCTATTGTTCCCAAGAAAGCAACTATTTGATTCTCTGGGGTGGGGCAGGGATTTGTCAATAATTTTTTTTTAACCCAGACTGAAAAACATGCCTTTATCCATGGCCACACACAAACACAATAATATTTTCAAGATTTATTAAAAAAATTTGTTTTTACACTTTTATATTTTTATGTTGTTTTGAAATATTAATTTGACTTGAATTTATACGAGTTTACTAAATATACATGTTTATGCCAAGCCAAGTCCGTTTATATCTTGTTTCTCGCCTGACTATACAAAAGGCCAGGAGAGCTTTGGCCATCATTTGTCGTCTTTGATAGATATGGTTGACTGATAAGCTGTCTATATAAAGTAATGGGACAATGGCATGAAGACATCACAAAATCGCCATATATAATACACAAAAAGACACTAGAGCTTACCATATGGTCTTCAACTACCCACCAACAGGCAGTACGCTTTGGTTGGCCTTAAACACAAATCCAAGGGCACAGCAAAATGAGAAAATATCCAACTAAAACTGGGTGACCTGGGAGGAAAACATTGGAACTTTCCTAAGAAATACAAATTTCACCCCCCCCCCCCCCCCTCCCCCTCAACATTTTAATAAGGAGATGCGGTATGATTTCCAATGTGACAACTATCCCCAAAGTTCAAATGAAGTGGATGTAAGCAATTATATATAGGCAACCGTACCACCTTCAACAATGAGAAAAAAACCAGTAGGGTATAGTCGGCTATGAAAGGCTCTGAAAAACAATAAAACGAAAAACAAATATGACAGACATCAACAAACGACAACCATTGAACTATAGGCTCCTAACTTGGGACAGGCACATACAGTATGTGGCGGGGTTAAACATGCAAGTGAGCGCTCAACACTCCCGTTAACCTGGGACGAGTTTTGTTACAGAACAACATAAGAACAAACTATAAAAATCAGCTGAAAAGTGCTTAACATATCAGATCGATACAAAACAGAAAAAAACATCAAACAAAAGAACAGACCGGACGTGGCAGGGTATTTATACATCCTTAACAAACAAAAAAGGACACAAAGTTCAGATCTGAGAGTAATCGCAGTACTGACAGCTAGTTTAAAGCCAATAACAACTAATACAATAATCATGTATCTAAGACTAAAATATCAATCAGTACACATCCAACATCCAATGGATTTATTGTAAAGACGTCATTAACAATCAGAGAAAGACATGACCTTGTGCAATGCCAAATCATAGGTATCAACAGATTGTAGTACCTTGATGTGTATAACAATAATATGTAGTATAATTTTAAGTAACTGATAACAAAATTAATATTTATACCAATAAAAACAATATTCAAAGAT